TGGATTTGAGTGAACACACTATAAAAAATGTTATATATAGTGACATACAAAAGTGTCACTATAGGTATAATATATATATACATATATATATATATATATATATATATATATATATTTGACATATAACTATACACAATTTTAGTATTGATTTTAAATGAAATTTAACAACATATTTTGTGTGTCACTATAGCTTATACACACAATTTTTAACAATATATCAACATATATTGTATTTGTTGTGTAGGTAAAAGTAGTTTTTAATGACAATTTTTATATCACTATACGACAATTTTCTTATAGTGAGAGAATATCAAAGAAGATTAGAATTAAGGATTGGGATCAAATACTATTTTGTGAAGAAACAACCTCTTGCAACATTCTGCATCACGAATATGGAACTCTAAAATGAACAACGATGAACATTTTGGTTTGAGAAAACATCTTGTCAATTGCGAAATCCACAAAACACATTTTTGTTGGTGCGAAAATATGAAACAAGAATGAAGATCTTAAATTTTAAATGTGAGCGAGTGAAAATATTTTAAAAGATTAATTGTATAAGTGAGATGCCACATTATGTTATAATAAATGTGCTAATAACAATCTTTTATTTTAATATAATGTTTAAGATTGATAGTTCTCAATTATACCAGATATAGATAAGACCAAAATACCATAAGAGAAAATCGAAGAATCCTCAACACAAATATTTTAAGGAGTGCTTGGCCAGGTTACAACAACCTAAGTCACTCCACATATACTAAGATTATTGGACCCTAATGGGCCTAAATGCATTAAGATTAGTATAAATAAGTGTAATCAGCAACTGATAAAGGTATGTTTTCATAATTACTAGTTTGATTAGTATTGAAATCTCTGAGGCCGAGGACTGACATAAGCTTTGGAGTGCCTTTTGCAAGAACCCCCTTCTTTCTCTACGATATATCATAGAAGATGAAGACCCAATAGAAGTAGCAAAATTACCGGAGTACCCTTATGCAGGTACATTTTGGCACCCACCGTGGGGTCGATTTTGAAGGCTTGCATTGTTTATTTATTTTGCAAGAAGAAGAGTTTGTTGAAGATGGTTACTACTAGGAAGAACAACCACTCGGTTCAACCCGAACAGGACTCGGGGCTGATTGCTATGGAAGATCAAACTGATCTCTCAGATGCTGTGAATATGCTTCGTGAAGAAATAGCAGTTGTCAAGCAAGCTCGAGAAAGAGACGCTCAAGAGTTTGAAGCAATCAGGAAGGAGAATGCCGAACACTACCAAATAGCCCAACAATAAGGCCTCCTTATATCACGTACCGACAACTCCACAAACACACGATCCTCCCATGCAGTTGTCAACCATTCCTGGGAAACCTCCCCCTCGGACAGTGGCAGCACCCGGCTCATACAAGCACCCTTTCACTCAAAGCATTATGGAGACAACCATATCTGATAGCTGGAGAAGTCTTCCTCTAGAGAAGTACGATGGATCCTCGGGCCCCGATGGCCATTTGAATGCATACCTCACACATGTTACCTTGCTAACAGAAGAAGATGCTGCCTTGTGTCGTCTCTTCCCCACTTCATTAAAAGGACTAGCATTGAGCTGGTTCATTAAACCTTCCCCCAGCTCCATAAATTCATTTGAAGAATTGGCATCTTTGTTTACGGTGCAATTTGCTACAAACAGACCTTACCAACTGACATCATTAGTGTTGGCCAACATCAGACAGGAAAAGAAAGAATCCTTAAGGTCATTTATGGATCGTTTTAACAAAATTGCAATAGAGATAAAAAAACCTGAACCCGGCTGTTGCAATGGTTAGTTTGAACACAGTGTTGAAACCCGAACCTTTTGTAAACAGTTTATGCAAAAAACCTCCGTTGGATATGAATGACTTGAGGAGAAGGGTTGAAAAATACATGCAAATGAAGGAATTAACTGAATCAAGAAACCAAGCTAGAGCCGAAGCTATGCCAAGCAGAAGAGAAAACGAAAAGGAAAATTACCAAAAGAATAAAAGGGAGGATACCAGAAGAAACTATCAAGTAAAAAGACCTCGTTACACTGACTACACCCCACTAAATACAAGCAGAGCAAGGATATTAGAACAAGCCCTGGCATCGGAAATTTTAAACATCCCAAGAAGAACCCATACACCCCCGAGGGAAAACCTATCAAAATCATGTTCATATCATCAGAACCATGGTCATTCAACAGAGGAATGTGCCGCTTTAAAAGATAAAGTGGAGGAGTTGATAAAATAAGGACAGCTGAAAAATATGTCAAAAATCAAAACACTAACCGAAGGTACGATAATGTGAAAAACAGTCACACACAAAGAGGAAGAGAGACAGTAAAAAAAGAATGTACAGTCGGAAAAGGAGTCGGTCAAGAGAAAGAAAAAGAGAAACAAACTTTAGAAATCAAGAAAAGAGAGACATCAACACTATCTCGGGAGGATTTACAAGTGTAGGAGCAACCTACTCCGCTCGAAAAAGACACTTGAGAGCAGTTAAAATAGTAAATTTTGTAGAAAAAAGGAAAAAGAAAATGCCCACTATAACTTTTACAAAAGAAGATTTCAAAGGAGTAGACCGTGATCAAGACGATCTTATGGTTATCAGTGTGGAAATCAACAATTGCATCATCAAGAAAACCCTTGTAGATCAAGGAAGCTCAGCTGACATATTATATTGGAAAGCATTCAAGCAAATAGGAATTCTAGAAGAAGAAGTGAAACATTATGATGAACCGCTGGTAGGTTTTTCTGGAGAACGAGTGACAACAAAAGGGTTCATCGACCTTTACACTTGCTTCGGTTACAATCAAGATATTTCAAAAACTATAAAGATAAGATATATTGTGGTGAATGCAAATACTTCTTATAATATTTTGCTAGGAAGACCGTCGATCAACGCATAGGGAGCCATCGTCTCAACACCACATCTAGCCATGATATTTCCTGGAGAATCACAAAAGGTAATTACGATTCATCTCGATTAGAAAATTGCGAGAGAATGTTATATGGCCAGTTTGAAAATATGACTGATGGTGAAAGTAGAAGTTAAGAATGTACATTTGGTATCACCAGAAACTGAAAAAATGTTAGACACCACAAACTTGGATCCACGGTTGGGAAATGAAGACCTCAGGGTGGAACCAAATGAAGAAACTTTACCTTTTCGGTTGGGAGATAAAGAAGGGCAGGATACATATATCGGATCTAGACTTGAGAATGAGGATAAAGAAATGATACAAGAGGTAGTAAGAAAGAATAAAGAATTATTTCCATGGACAGTAGAAGATATGTCTGGCATCGATCCCACATTCCATTATCATCGGGTAGCAATATGCAAAGAAGCAAGACTAGTAGCTCAATGCAAAAGAAAAATGGGAGAAGAAAGAAGAAGAGCAGTAGAGATAGAAGTATAGAAATTGGTAAATGCACGGTTCATACGAGAGGTACAACACACAACTTGGTTAGCAAATGTAGTAATGGTGAAAAAAGCCAACGGAAAATGGAGAATGTGTGTAGATTACACGGACTTGAACAAAGCATGTCCTAGAGATGCTTACCCTCTCCCCAATATTGACCGACTTGTTGATGGCGCTGCAGGCCATCAAATTTTTAGTTTTCTAGATGCATATTCGGAGTATAACCAAATTAGAATGAACCAAGGAGATGAATCAAAAATAGCTTTTATAACAGAATCAACAAACTATTGTTACAAGGTAATGCCTTTCGGTTTAAAGAACACGGGGGTAACTTACCAAAGGATGATGGATAAAATATTCCACAAACAGATCGGCAGAAATGTTGAGGTCTATGTAGATGATATGGTGGTGAAATCAAACAGTGTAGAGGAACATATCAAATACTTACAAGAAGTATTCAAAGAAATTAGAAAATACATGAGACTCAATCCCGAAAATGCGCTTTCGGAGTTCAATGAGGAAAATTCCTTTGGTTTATGTTATCGGCTAGAGGTATACAGGCAAACCCAGACAAGTGCCAAAGAATACTAGATATGAGGAACCCAAAGAGTATAAAGGAGGTTCAACAATTGATCGGGAGACTCACATTGTTGTCCCAATTTATTCCCAGGTTATTGGAAAGAACCAAACCAATACTGAAATTGCTTAAAAAAATCAAAGAATTCCAGTAGACTAAAGGATGTGAAGAAGCAATTCAAACTCCAAAGGAAACCTTAGCCTCCCCTCCAACATTAACAAAACCAAATACTAGCAAGGATATTATTATGTACTTATTGATCTCTGATGAGGCTGTAAGTGCAGCTCTAGTTCAAGAAGAAAAGGGTAAACAACAACCAATATACTTTGTAAGTCGAACCTTACACGATGCCAAAACTCGTTATCAATTGATTGAAAAGGCGGCATTAAGATTGGTTTATGCAGGAAGGAGGTTGCGTCAATATTTTCAAAGTCATAATATTGTTGTTAGGACATATTGCCCTATTGCTAAAATCCTAAAAAAGCCCGAGTTAGCAAGAAGAATGATGGCATGGGCAATAGAATTATCAGAATTTACCATTCGCTATGAACCATGAGGTCTAGTTAGGGCAAGGTGTTAGTGGATTTTGTAAATGAATTACATCCAAAAGAGATAGTTGAATTGGTGTGGTGGAGCCTTCATATAGATGGATCCTTGAATAATCAAGGAAGTGGGGTTGGTATCATATTAGAAGGACCGAACAAATGCTCAATCAAGCAATCCCTTCGGTTCAATTTCAAAACATCCAATAATTAGGCCTAGTACGAAGCTTTGATAGCTGGTCTTCGGTTGGCCAAAGAAATGAATGTACAAAAGATTAAATGTCACATTGACTCGAAAGTAGTAGTAGAACAAATTAAAGGAACATTCCAAATAAAAGAACCACACCTACTGAGTTACTTCCATATTTTTCAGAGAATGAAAGGTGACTTCGAAGAAGTACAGATTCAACACATACCTCAGAACGATAATGAGAGAGCAGACAAGTTAGCCAGATTGGCCAGCAGCCGAAAACTCGGGCATTTGAACACTTTGCTCCAACAAGAACTACAAATTCCAAGTATAGAAACAGGGGAATGCTACCAAGTTGAGACCTTAGAAAAAGGATGGATGAAGAATATTTTGAACTATATGAACAAAGGCATATTACCACAAGATTCCTTGCAAGCTAAGAAATTAAGAATAAATGTGGCTCGCTACGTACTCATTGCAAGAGAATTATATAGACGAGGATTTTTGTTACCCCTGTTCAAATGTTTGACGATCGAACACTCTAGTTATGTGTTGAGAGAAGTACATGAAGGCATATGTGGTTTTCACTTGGGAGCGAGAACAACTGCAACAAAAATTTTAAGGGCAGGATATTTCTGGCCGACATTAAAGAAGGATTGTGAATACTTTGTTAAAAAATGCAAACCATGTCAACAACATGGTAATATCATTAGAAAACCTGCTAAAGAGCTACACGGTATAAGCTTCGCATGGTCATTTGCTACGTGGGGAATGGACATCCTCGACCCATTCCCCATGACCAAAGGACAACTTAAATTCCTCATAGTAGTTGTCGATTTATTCACAAAATGGATAGAAGCAAAACCACTAGCAACCATATCAACATCAAACATCCAGAAGTTCACGTGAAAAAATATCATAACACATTTTGGAATACCTTACGCTATAATCACTGATAATGGGCTTCAGTTTACTAACAAAAGATTCAACGAATTCCTAATGAACTTACATATCAAGCATAAAACCACCTCGACAGAACACCCTCAATCAAACGGACAAGCAGAATCAGCTAACAAAGTCACACTACCATAATTGAAAAATAGATTGGGATTGGCAAAAGAAGCATGGGTCGAAAACTACCTGAAATTCTATAGGCATATAGATGTACTCCATAGTCTTCAACAAAAGAAACACCTTTTAGACTCGCCTTTGGAAATGATGCGATGATTCCGGTAGAAATCGGAGAACCCTCATACAGATGAGTTTATTTTCAAGAAAAGGATAATTCAGAAGACTTAAAAACAGAACTTGACTTATTAGAGGAAGGGAGGGATAAAGCCCTCATCAACGCTGAAGCATGCAAAAGAAGGATGATGAGAAGATTTAACTCAGGGGTGAAACCTTGAGAATTTCACAAAGGCGATTTAGTTTGGAGAAGCATAGGGGAAGCAAGGAAGAATCCAAGGGAAGGAAAGCTCTCGACCAATTGGGATGGACCATACAAAATTAATCAAAACCTACAAAAAGGAGCATACAAGCTAGAAGAATTAAATGGAAAGTTAATCCTAAGAACATGGAATACTTCACATTTGAAAATGTATTACAGTTGAAAAACCTTTTATTTTGGTGTACTCTTTTCCTTGCTTAGCTTTTTATCCCTAAAAGAATGTGAAAGGGTTTTTGATAAGTAAGGTTTTTAACGAGGCACCTCGGTGAATATAATACAAGAAGTTTTTCACGTTTAACAAACGCGTAAACTCAAGACCTCGGTCGAGGATACACTCGATCGAGCGTACAAAACAACTCAAGACCTCGATCGAGGACACACTCGGTCAAGCGTACAAAACAACTCAAGACCTCAGTCGAGGACACACTCGGTCGAGCTTGAGAAACAACTCAAGACCCTCGACCGAGGACACACTTGGTCGAGCGGGTAAAACAACTCAAGACCCGTGGTTGAGGACACACTCAGTCGAGTGGGTAAAACAACTCAAGGCCCTCGGTCGAGGACACACTCGGTCGAGGACACACTCGGTCGAACGCGTAAAACAACTCAAGACCCTCGGTCGAGAACACACTCGGTTGAGCGCGTAAAACAACTTAAGACCTTCAGTTGAGGATACACTCGATCAAATGTATAAAATAACTCAAAACCTTCAGCCGAGGACACACTTAGCAAGTGCGTAGAAACAACTCAAAACCCTTGACTGAAGACACCATCAGTCAAGCGTGTAAAACAATATCAAACTCTCAGTTGAAAACACAAAGCAACCAACTCGATCATGAAGAACTTCAAACAAATCAAAATACCTTAACTAAAGATATAGTTGAATAAATATAAAATCAGACATTTAAGACACCTCGACATAAGACCATTAATTGAAAAACTTTTTATTATTTTTAAAGACCCCTCGACCTATTTGTTTTTAAAACTCCTCGGCCTATTAAACTTGTTTTTAAAGCCCATCGGCTTAAGGCCTTTAATCAAAACTTTCCAAATTATAATATTATGACATCTCGGCCAAAGAACTTTGGACAAAACCTTTTTGAAGTTATTATAGACCCTTTGGCCATGAAACTTTTTCATTTAAGTGATGGCATCCTTACTTGCATGAACTTGAGATGATGAAATATCACAATCAAAATGCAGATTGTTCAAGGACTAGTTGTCTCAGCCTGCTAGAATTATAAATAAGGCAGACATTCAGTTCTATCACAAGAATTTTCGGCTCACCTTTACTAATCCAAACAGAATATCAGAGCCAAAAAGGGTCGTCAAAGGCAGTCAACCACAATTGAGGGGTAGTTGAAAAATGATGTCAAGCACATGTACTATTTAGGTGTGTCACTCTGTTCACGCATAGCACTATTCACACACAGTACTATTCACATGATGAAAAAAAAAATTACTCTAGTTACCATATTGTGATTTAGAATTGTGTGTGAATCTTCAGCACCCATAATCTTATTTATAATGAAAAATAAGAATTGACATGATATGATATGATTAACTAAGATATGATTAACCTAATAAGTCTCCACAATATCTTAACACATAGCACCATAATAATTTACAATTAAAACACCATATATCAGTTTAGGAGAAAATGAAGGCAGATTTCTAGGGCCAAAATAAATATTACCACTCCTCAGATTGTCAAAAATGTTCCAAGACTATTGTTAAAAGAGAGAAACAAAGATCTCATTTTCTGAATATGCTAGATTGATAATTCCAGGGATTTATTTATATACAAGAAAACAAAATTAACTAAATTAAATTTAAAAATAGCAAAATCAATTAACATTTTCGAAACAATTACACCAATACTTTCTCTCCTCACTTCTTATAATTTTCTCGACTCTTGTAATCACTAATTATTTTATGTAACAAGCCACAGATGTGTACTCTATAGCACGTACACTAAATATAGATGTGACAAATATTGACTTGCAAAACAAAGATTCATATATACCTGTATATAATTTTCATAACACCATTGTGTTGAAAAATTGGTCTCCTTCCATGAATTGTAGACCTGAACAGAAAAAAAATAAATCAATAAGGTCCGGCTAAAATCTAAAACAGATTACAATTTGACAAATGTGCATGCCAATGATAATCTGGCCATGTCTCACTTAGAAGAAAAATTAAATACAGAACAAATATTCAATTTATAATGAACTCAACAATAGTGTCTTACATTTCACAGAAAGGAAAAAAGGATATACATGAGTTGATAAGAGCCAAAATAAAGAAAAAGTCATAAGCAATAGAACCTTTAGCAATGCAATATGGTCTCCCACATTTCCAGTGTGAAAATTCATCCATGCATTGTCTGCATGCACTTGCTTATCCTTTGGACGGTAAAATATTGAGTTTCCAACAGAAAGCATAGCAGCAATAGAAATGATATCGTCTGAACATTTGTACTTTTCTGAAGCCACTATCATTTTTGACAACATAGGATCAAGTGGGAACTCTGCCATCCGTCTACCCACTTTAGTTAACTCCCCAAGCTTATTTAGTGCACTTAATGCAAATAGAAGCTCCAGAGCTTTCAATAAGGCCTCAGAAGGTGGAGGATCCATGAAATCAAAATGCATCAAGTCATGAATACCAAGACTTTTTAAAGACAATACAACACTGGCGAGATTAGACCGCTGTATTTCTGGCACAGTGTTATCATCCAAATCATTTTGAAAATTGTATGCAGTATATAATCTAAAGCACTTTCCTGGACCAGTTCTTCCAGAACGACCAGCTCTTTGCATTGCTGAAGCTTTTGAGATAGGAGTTATTAGCAAAGACTCCATTCCTGTTCTCGGGTTATAACTTTTCATCTTACAAAATCCAGGATCAATGACATACTTGATCCCATCAATTGTCAATGATGCTTCTGCAATATTAGTAGCAAGTACAATCTTTCGGGCTCCTTCAGGAGTGGGTTCAAATATTTTAGCTTGTAGTTCAGTTGGTAGGTTGGCATATATAGGGCATATTATTAACTCGGCAATTTTAGTCCCCAAGCCTCTAGTTCGCTGCTTCAAGTTTTCTTCAGCCGTTTCAATTTCTTCTTGACCAGTAAGGAAAACCAATATATCTCCAGGAGGTTGAGTGACATGGATTTGAAGTGAGGTGACAATAGCTGCATCTAAGTAGTCAGCCTCTGGAGCTTTTGTAAAGTTTATCTCAACAGGATATCGTCTCCCTGGAATTTTGAATATTGGTGCAGAATCAAAGTAATCACTGAATTTCTCGGCATCAAGTGTAGCACTTGATATTAGCAACTTGAGATCAGGCCGGAAACGAGCAATATCCTATCACATAAACACAATATATAAGTACAGGAGGATATTATAACGAATAACTACAATAAAATTGTTTATACATTTAACCTCAAATAAATCCAAATATGAGCAAAAACCATGCATTGGTGAGTTACAGATTGACCAGTAACCAAACAAAAATGAATGTAAAACAATATTGAACAAAAGAATATATGCAATCAAATATATCCCAAAGGGTCATGAATATCACAATCAAAATGCAGATTGTTCAAGGACTAGTTGTCTCAGCCTGCTAGAATTATAAATAAGGCAGACATTCAGTTCTATCACAAGAATTTTCGGCTCACCTTTACTAATCCAAACAGAATATCAGTTGAGAGTGTTCTTTCGTGAGCCTCATCCACCATCACAACACTGCAATAATTGCAAACATAACAAGAGAACAATCATATAGCATCCAACTAAACCCCAAATATGAATCTTATACAAGCCTTTAGTGTTATTCCATCATTGTCCACAACATTAAAAACCTTATTTAAAAACAATCATTGGTAAATTCTATATTAATTGCCTTGGCCAAAAATTTGTCAGGGCGAAATTTTTATAACCCCACAGTCAAAAGCATAGTCGTTATATTTTATATTGAAGTTGAATTTTACGTTTAAAACCTCTCCTCCAAAGGCTTCGATGAAGTTATGTTATATATATATATATATATATATATATATGCTCATAACTGCATGATATTCAATAAGGTTCAATATTCATAATATTGTCGAATTACATGAAGACAAACAACACAAAAACAAAGCACAAAACACAATATAAAGGCCTAAGCGTCTATGTCATTCACAGGAGTGATACCATGGGGAACAACACTCTCGGCATCTTGGCTCGAAAGAGGAGGGGTAAAGGCTTCTTCAACAGTGGCATCATCTGGAATGTCATCTAAGCTCATAAATCGCCCCCTGTAAAAGTCCTTTCCGAGGTCAAATTCAAAATCTGATGGGACATTGAGAAAATGAACAGCGTGGCGAACAACATGATTAAAACCTTCCTCGTATTCATTATAAATCCTATCCTCGGCATCGGCCTTATAAGCTTCAAAATCAATAACAACCTTGTTTCGATAGGTGCTCACTTCTTCGAGTTGTCGGTCAAAATCCTCCACCAACTTAGCCTTGGACTCTTCAGACTCTTTCAGCTTCTCTTGAAAGTTACTCACCAAACCAACAAGCCTGTCGCGATCGGACCTAATCTTCTCAACCTCAGAGGCAAGATCTTTATTTTTATCAAGGGCCGAAGCTAATGCCGTTTCTGAATCCTTCAAACTAGTATGAAGCGTATCGGTCTCCGTGATTGGCTCCATGAAGAGAATTTATGCTATACCCATAGACAGACCCATTAATTCACACCAAAGAGACCACTTAATCATAGAATTCTCTTGTGAAAGGAAATCACGTCCTTCGGGAGAAAGAAACCCTTGGCTAAATACTTTTCGGGTATTGATGGTAGACACCAAAAAATTACTCAAAGATAAAGCTAGGGGCAAAGTACATGACCCAATAAATGAACCACTCGAGGGTTTCTTCTTTTTTGCACGTTTCTCAGCATCGGCCTCAGTCACAATACATTCGGTAGACCGACTTTTGGGACCTTTCTCTTTGTTCTTTGGGGCACTCTTCTTCTCAGCCTAAGGGGGAACTATGTCCACGATAGGCTCAACTGGACGAGATCCAACCCGAGGAGTACCACAAGCAATTACAGCAGCTGTCTCGGTCTCAACTCGAGCACGCTCCTTGCGAACCTAACGAAAAGAAAGAACGTTGGCACCAGAAGAAGCCATAATACCTGCACAAAAAGCAAGTTAAAATCAAAATCATTGTTATAAAATATGAATAAATATATATAATAGAACAATGAATACCTTCAAGATCCCGGGTAGGGTTCGGAGACTTGAGTAAATCAATGAGTCGTCGGCAAGGAAGATCACGAGGAAGACTCTCCAAAAAATTTAAATCCGAGGACTCCTCGGGAGATAAGAAAGAAAGAAGAAGCACATCATATTGAAGTTGGACTTGAGTCCAATAAAAAGGAAACAAAGGGGCATCATTACTATCATAAAAGAAAGAGCGAACCCTTGGATGAATGCAAACCTTGAAAAACCCCACTTTAAACTTCTTGTAGGATGAGGAATAAGGCTTTAGAAGTTTCTGAGAAGAGACTCGGGCCAAAGAAACCCATTTAACCTGTTCAAACAGGCGAAAATAATAATAAAAAAGAAACAAACTAGATGTGGCTTTTACATGGATAAACTTGCTGAGACTCCAAAAGGCTTGCATGGATGTCCAACTATTTGGATGTAATTGAGTAGGTGCTACATTTAGGATTTGGAGAATACTAGTGAAGAAAGGATAAAAAGGAAGAACAATGTTGAGGTCACGAAAAAGATAATCATACATGTAAAAAAATTGCCTCAGTTTGGTATTCGATTGGCAAGCAAATATATAATCTGGAGTAGAGGAGACATCAGTTTTACAAGTCCTAGCATAAATAGGGTATGGTTCGTCCTTGGAAGGGAAGGAGGATACTTCTACAATGCCTATGAAGTTTTCTAAAAGTCTAGGGTCACAAAACCTAGAATTGTATGTAGCTACCTCAAGATGAACCCATTCAAACCCCGATACCACTTTAGACTTACTATCATAAAGAGGATCTATATATCCATCTTCGTCCTCTGTAGAGAAGAAACCTTCAACATGATTTAACCTTTCAGATGAAGATGAAGAATCCATGGATGACTAACGACGAGATTCATTATTCTCAAGTGAAGACAAATGAGAAAAAAGAGAAGAAAAATTGGAAGTAGAGAAAGAACCCATTACCTATAAAAAGCAAAGGAACAAAGGAAGTCTTCGGGTAAGACAAAGAGCACAAGAAACCAACGGTAAATAGGAAGAGAGTCTTCGTCCTCGGACAACAAAATTTTCAACATCAGAGCAAATAACATGGTAAAAATAAATGAGTATTTATAACTGCGATGAAAAATGAAGGGAAAGATTGTAACTGTGGAAGAAAATATGCACAAATGTTTTGATGATGCCAAAGTGATTATAAAACATTGAAGAAGAATCAAGGTTGAGCTAAAGCAAGTTGATGCAAGAACAAGATCTCAAGTGGTACATAGATAAGTCTTGTCAACTTAGCTAAGTATGTAAAAGAATTTTTTAGAATTGCGAGTATGCTTGGCCTTGAGAATAAGTTTTCAAAAATCTCAAATTAATCTCTTTAAATTTAAACAAGTTTTTAATCTTTTGAAAGTAAGTAAAAATGTTTTCAAAAGACTTAACAAAAACTTTAAAGAATAGTTCAAATCATTTCTTAAAATACATTTGTGAAAGAAATTATTGAGATGAAGTTTCCTACATAAAAGTTTTTGAAACAATAAAAAAATATGTTCTGGTAATCCATTACCAGACCTTGTAATCCATTAACGGACCTTGTAATCCATTATCAGAACAGGAAACTTCAAATTTCAAATTCTAAATACAAAATGTGTTCTGGTAATCGATTACCAGACCTTGTAATCGATTACTAGAAGATAAAATTTCAAAATTTGAATTTTAATTATACGTTTCAAATATTTTGAACTTAAACCGTTGTAATCGATTACCAAGTCTTGTAATCGATTATCAGAGCCTATTTTCTGAAAAATTATAGAAAGTTACAACTTTTCATGAAAAAATATAACTTAAGAAATAATTGTCTATAAATACTTATAATTTTTCAGAGAAAGGTGACGAACTCTATTGTGAAAATCATTTACAAAAACTACTTGGCCAAAGTCATTTGCAAAATCTCTAAAGAGTTCTTTAAGATCATGAAAGTGTAATATCTAGTCTTCAAAGAGAGTCATTCTGTAAAAACTCAATTGATCATTGGATCTGTAAAGGACAAAGGATTTTTCTCCTTGTTGGTATTTGAATCTCAACACAAGGAAAGGGTGTTCCGAGGTGTTGGAGGATTCAAGTCTTGTAAGGTTTACAAGAGTAGTGGAAATCTCAAGTGAGAGACTTGAGGACTGGATGTACGCAGGATTGGCCGAACCAGTATAAAATCAAGTTTGCAATTTTTCTTCCCCTTTATTTGTTATTTGATTTTGTTTGAGTTGTTCTACATCATCATTCTTTACATACAAATTTGTCTAAGGAAATAAATTGATAAGAAAGTAATTCGAAAAAGTTTTTATAAGAGAAAAATTTAAAAAACTTAATTCACCCCATCTTAAGTTAATTGAGGCTAAGTGACTAACACTAACCTTTCATTTACTTCCAATCTAATGGCCTTAACCTCTCAATTCCTCGTATTCATCCTGAGCAAAAACCCCTCCGTTTAAAAAAAAATGCCTCATTTAAGAGGCCTCGTTTCCGAGGAAATCATGACACTTTTAAACAATTTCAAGGCCGAAAACACATTTGATCATAGGCACAAACGTTACTGACACACAACACTTAATGCAAAGGGAAATTTTTGTTGTTTTCATACATACAAATAAGAAGTTCTTATAGCTAAATCAAGTATATGTTTTTACCCCGATGAGAAAAAACATTAAAAAGGGTTGTAGGAACATTCATTAGTAATGTCAGCCACCTTTTTGGATAAAGCAGTGGAAATACAACAAAATTGGTGCATGTAAGAAAGATTAGTGAGTCCTTTATATCCATGGTACTAACATTACATATCCAAGTGGTTAACAAAATGGGTTCTAGTCTAACGTAAATGAGTAGACACACGTGTATATATATATATATATATATATATATACCTTATTCGTATTTTAAGCTTTCTTCAATTATTAATAATAACAAATAATTATTAATAATCTTGAAAGCTTGGGGACATATATACTGGATATAGATAAGACTAAAGTACCATAAAAGAAAATCGAAGAATCCTCAACATAGATATTTTAAGGAGTGTTTGGCCAGGTTACAATAGCCTAAGTCACTCTACATATATCAAGATTATTGGACCCTAATGGGCCTAGTTGTGGGCCTAAATCCATTAAGGTTAGTATAAATAAATGTAATCACCGACTGATAAAAGTACATTTTCATAATTACTAGTTTGATTCTGAGGCCGAGGACTGACTTAAGCTTTGAAGTGCCTTTTGCAGGTACGCCACTCTTTCGATATATCATAGAAGATGAAGACTTAGCAGGAGTAGCAAAATTACCGGAATATCCTCGTACAAGTACAATTCTTATATTAAAAATAACATTTTCACGGTGTACATCCTCCCAACACATATATATGCAACAAATTCACTTATTTAAAAAAATAATTTTTAATGAAATTATTTTACTAAATAACTTAAAATTTATATTAAATTTAATAAATTAATTAAATTAAAAGTTGTTATAAATATTTATATGGGAACATAATAGCTCCTTAGTGGAAACAAGACCA